AAGGCCACTCAATGAGGTAGGGCCGGAAAGAGGTCAGTCTCCTCCAGAAGTGGTTGGGTTGAAACTTAGCGAGGGAAGGAAAAAGAGCTACAGAGGAGAGCGGGCATGAGGGCAGGAGACTGACACTGGGGGGCTTCCTAGGAAAGACTGACTTTTAGTCAAAGGCAGATGGACAGCAGTCACGAGTCTTAAGCAAGGCAATAACCAATCACTCTTTTTAAAGAGTGTGTAAAATCTTAGACTGGAATTAAACTGAGTAAAGAAAGCAAGAAGCCCAACACCGGGGCCCTGTAACCTTGCGTCAAGGATCTGATCTCGACCAGTGGCTCCTCACCCTAGCCTGGCTCCCCTGCCCTAGTTTCAATCTATACACAATGTTTTGTTTGTTTGTTTGATTCTTGTTTGCTTTGCTTTATCTGAGACAGGGCCTCACTGTGTAGTTCAGCCTGGTCTTGAGCTCACAACCCTTCTCTGTCAGTCTCCCCTATGCTGAGTTACAGGAGTGGACCACTATGCCTGGCTTGTCAACCAACAGCTCTACGATACTGCAGAGGATTATCATGAAAACCAGACCAAATGAGGTCATGCAAATCAAGTGTTTAACACCAAGCCTGGCCACTAACGATGACAGGAAGTTGTGGGCTCTTCTTGCTGTTGCTATTCTGTGTTCCCAAAGCCTCAGGTTCTAAGTGGTAAAAAGCTGATAGGACATTATGAGAAAGCAGAGGGCACAAGGCGGAGAGAAGACCCAGCTCCACACTGAGCAGCACAGAAGCCTGGAGTAGGTGCACAAGCGCGTGCAGTCAGGATGACATTACGCTGTGAAGTCAGGACATAGCACAGTGGCCAATGGCCAAGGAGTTGCATTGGTGTGGGTGAGAGCTCACCCTGCCATTCTTCTTCCCCGTAGGCTCCTGATGAGATTTGAATCCTCGTAGAGTACAAAAGAGTGACTAAAACTTGTCAAGCAGGGCAGCGGTTCCCAGTCATCACTGTGGCAGCAGCCACACTGAATAAACACAAATATGAATATATCTTAAATGAAGTAATGATAAGAATAAACATTTATCATTCATTTATATTTATTGTTGTTTTTTATTTTTCAAGATGGGGTCTCACTCAGCTCTGGCTGTCCTGAAACTCACTATGTACATCAGGCTGGCCTTGGACCCACAGAGATCAGCCTGCCTCTGCCTCACAGGTGCTAGGATTAAAGGTGTGCACCAAATACATGTGCACCAATACATGTATTTTTTGCTGTTGTGTTTTTAACAGTCAGGGAGATAACTACCTTTCTGGGAGGTTAGGTTCTGAGACCTGCATTTGTTAGGCCACTTTGTCATCATCAAAAGACATGGACGTATGCTAAGGTACTAAGAACGTTAGGTGATATAATCTCATGACTGTTAACGAAGTCACCTTAACAGGATCTCAGATCATCTAGAAGACAAACCTCTGGTCATATCTGTAAGGAAGCTTCCAGACTCTTTTAACTCACCTTAAATGTTGGCAGCAGTGAGCTAAGTACCAGCATTCATCTCTCTATGCTTCTTGCCTGCCACTTAATGTGATGAGCTGCCCCATGCTTCTGCTGCTGTGACTGCCCCATCATGATGGACTGTACCCTCCAATTATACAAGACAATCCCTTCCTTCACTAAGTTGCGTTTGTCAGGTATTTTGTCAGAGCCATGAGAAAAAAAAAATAAGTGATGTGAATCTTTGGGACCAGCATCGTGTATGTGATCCCTCGTTGACCAAATGGGCTTTTGTTGTTCATAGACAGCATAGAGCCATGGTAGGCAGGAACTTCCTGTTGTGGGCTGAGCACACTGAGTTCATCAGAAGGAGATGGGCAAACCCCAGCTGCCTCGGAGGGCAGTGGCTGCTTTTGCCAGTCAAGTCAGGAAGAGGTGGTTTGCAGCTACGTAGTCACACTCCTTGAGAGAATGACCACAGGCAACCATCTCCATAGCTGGACACTGGAGAGATGAGGCCAGGCCAGAAATTCCCTTCCTGTAACAACATCTGAAAACAATTTTTGGAGACAGGTTTTTATTATGAAGCCCTGGCTAACTTTGAACTTACCATGTGAATCAGGCTGGCCTCAAACTCACAGAGATCTGCCTGCCTCTTCCTGGGTGCTGGGATTAAAACCATGGACCATCATGCCTGACAAAAATCAATTTTTTTGTAGCCATCAGATATTTTGTGTGGCCCCTTGGTTCTAGACCCGCCTGTAAGTGTTGTATCAAGCATTTAGGGTTGAACACAATGAATGAACAAATAGCCTTGCCCTTGTGGAAGTTTACTCTGTGCAAAGTGAATTTCGGAACAAGCAAAACAAGCTGGATAGTGCCACTCTAAGGATAAACACAGTCAAGAGTTTTCTTAAGAATTACACAGGAGGCCAAATTGGAATATGCCTCTTTGCCTCCCAATACAAAGTATTTGTCCTGGAGTCCTTTCAAATACACACCTGGGATTCTTGAGCTCATGCAGCCTGGAATCTCAATAATCAAAAGGGTCTCACAGAGAGCAGGATGTTGAAATTCCCTGGGGGCAAGTGAGAAGGAAACACGGAATACACCACAAACCTGCTTAGGAGTTTATTAGAGGGGGTGCATACAGGCAGGCCTGGGGAATCAGTGTGCAGGGAGAGAGACAGAGAGAGAGAGGGAGAGGGAGGGAGGAAGGGAGGGAGGAGAGGAGAGGGAGAGACAGAAGGGGGAAAGAAAGAAAAGAAGAGAGACAGAAGCTGCCTCTTTGAGAGGGAGATGGAAAAGGGAGGAACTAGGGCTGGAAGCTGAAGATCAGCCTGCCTCAGCAGACGGGGAGGGAGTGGGCGTGGTTTGTCTCTTAGAACTGATCACCACAGATGTTCTACTGAGCAGTGCTAATAAGTGGTCTCAGCCTGTGACTGACACACTACAATGCCTAGTGGAACGACTGCCTCCAATGTGCTTTGATAGTGAGTTTGTTTCAAACACAGAAATCACACGGAGTGAGCAAGAGGCAGAAGCAGAAATGGGCATCTCTGGTAACCAGCCTCTGCTGGCCTCTAGAGCAAGGTGTTGCACTTCCTTGTTTCCCTCACCTTTCTTGGGAAAGGAGCAGGCTGAGCCTGCCCTCTCATTGCCTATATTTTCTGTTTTTTCTCTATGTTATCAGACACATTATTCCCGAGGAGAAGGCTGGAGACACCTAAGCTTTGGGGGAGTTCGTTTCTCAGGATGAAGCTTTTTAATTTTTCTTATTGCAGTGGTAGTTTTGTGCAAGAAGCTTCATGGAGTTTTAAGATATGAAAACCTGGGCTTAGAACCCAAGAACTCCTACAGTGAGGATATGCTATCTGCAATTCACCCTCCCTTCCCAACAGGGAGACCATGGGTCATGGAGGACTAGTTCTGAGGGGAACATCAGAGGTTGACACACCAGGAGAGGTTCTTGCTCTGGGGAAGGAGAAAGCGCCCACTTTCCCTTGAACTTCCTGCATTCTGATTGGCAGAATGAGCACACACACAAGCTTTGTTGTGAAGATCCCGGGGGGTTATCATAGAAAGGAATTTACAGAAAGAGCAGAGGCAGCATCGGTCAGAGTCATCCGAAGCTTCCCATCTTCTAAACCCGATGCCAGCTCAGACCAGAAGTTCTATGCCCATGGATGATACAATATTTATCGACTGCCAAAGCATCCACCAATCAGACTGCCCCTTGACCTAATCAAAGCAGATGCTATGAAGAGCCAAAATGCTCCCAGCAGCTCTGTTCAGGCTCATGCACTCTTCCGAAGGGACGAGTAGACTGTCTGTCATGTACAGATTCTCAGAGAGTGAATTTACACTGTTTAGCAAACTAGAGTGATGCCTAGTTGGGAAAAAACACAAATGTGCGGACCTGAGTTCGAATCCTAAGATCCCATGTAAGACTGGGCACCTATAATCCAAATTCTCCCATAGAGAGTTGGAAGGTAGAGGCAAGAGAATCCCTGGAAGTCCCCAGCTGGTTAGCCTGGCATGTGCTTCTCAGTGACAAACAGCAGAGGCACTGTGTCAAGGTGGAAGGCAAAGGCTGATGCACGCATATGCACACACACACACACACACACACACACACACACACACACACATACAGTCACGCTATCTGTGCTTCATACACACTTTCAGAGGTGATTCCATTGGAGAGGAAGCTGTTATCTCTTCCCTAAACTTTCACAGGGCCACGTGATCCAGCCATGCCCTACTTGACTCCCTGGTCGAGCACCTTTTATTTTTCCAAGCTCAGTTCCAGGTGCTGGTCCCTGAACACTTGCAGCCTCTTTTCTTTTACCTGAGTTACAGATTCATTAACCCAGACTTTCTCAAAATGTTATTATTAGAACTTTAATCACCCATGTCCTCCTTTCAAGTTCTTTCTAAAATTAATTTCTGGCAATAATAATTATGTCAATCAGGGGCCGGCCAAATATACCTGTGGCCCCTGGGCCAAATCAAGATGGGAGTTTCCGGCCACAATCTATTTTTTCTGGGGGGGGGCTCCTAATGACTGTGCCACTTTCTCCATCAGCTCCTCTCTCTCTCTGCCCTACGAGGACAGGTGAAGGGACAGGTGGGTCTGTCTGATATCTTAGGTAAACTCAGACAACAAAGAGATGGTAAATAAAACAGGGTGAGTCAAGGGCAGAAGTCAAAATGGCAGGTTCTGGCAGGGCCCCCATGAAGGAAGGTAAAAGTGAAGCTGGAAGAGAAACCAGCAAAATAGAGGGGAAAGAATAGTTAACCAAGTGCCTAGATGATGGATGGACTCTTATTTTGAAAGACGCTCTTTCAAATGTGGTGGTTTGAAAGAAAATAGCCCACAAAGGGTGTAGCACTACTAGGAGGTGTGGCCTTGTTGGAGAAGGTGTGGTCTTGTTGGAGGAAGTGTGTCACTGTGGAGGCAGGCTTTGAGGTTGTCCTTATGCTTGAGCCCTGCCCAGTGAGACAATTTACTTCTGGTTACCTTTCGATCAAGATGTAGGCTTCCCAACTCCAGCACCAAGTCTGCCTTCATGCTACCTTGCTTCCCACCATGAGATAATGGACTAAACCTCTAAACTGTGAGTCACTGCAATTAAATGTTTTCCTTTATAAGAGCTGTCGTGGTCATGGTGTCTCTTCACAGCAATGGAAGCCCTAAGACAGCAGCATTGTTTCTCATGTGCTCTAGGAGGATACAGATGCACACACGGGACTGGGTTAAAGAATGGTGAGCCCATTTCAATAACGGCTGGCCTATCTTCCAGTCTGTGCAATCCCCCACCTCTTTACTGGAATGTGCCTCCATCTATACCCACAGCACAGCCAGCCGTAAGATGCAAGACCACCGTAACCAATCAGGCAGTATTTTACTGGCCCCGCTGTCATCAGCTCCGGTCAACACGAGGTCAAACAGACTGACCCTTTCTCTCTTGACATTATTTATTCATCCAACAAACATGTAAGTTCAGCTGAGGAAGTTTCCCCTTGCTATTTCCAAACCTCTGTGCCTGATGTTAGGGTTATAATCGTTCTATTTTCTTAAGAAGACTGATTTTTTATCATATGTGGATAAATGAATGTCTACATGTGTGTAGGTGAGTCACATGCATGTCTGCTGCTCTCAGAGGCCAGAAGAGGGGATCAGATCCCTTGGAATCAGAGTTATAGGTGGCTGTATGTGCTGGGGACTGAACCTGGGTCCTCTATAAGCACAGTCAATGTTCTTAACTGCTGAGCTATCCCTCCAGCCCCACCATTTTTAATCCAAGGAGTAAGGAATTGAGGGGACCGACAAGACTACTGGATCACCTGTGAAGGTAGCAACACCCGTGAAAACTCAGAGCAAAGGAAGGACAAAGGCCCGTGGTTCCCTGGATGGTGGGCAGTGGCTTCCGAGCTCCAGAAGCTCAGAAGATTAAGATTAATGTGGAAGATTAAGAACCCCTGAGGGAGTGTTCATAGGAATAGGGGGCTCAGATTTGGGTAGACAGCCCTCTGGGGAATAACTGTTAATCAGGGTGTGTCTGTGGCAGACAGTAATAGCTAAAGAAAATCCTAAAGAGGCGAGACCAAATCGGTGATACTGATGGTGGAGAGAAGCGGGCAGCAGGCAGTCAAGAGGTCACGTGCTTGACTGAGCAATTGGTCTGTGAGGTCAAGGAAAAGGGGAGGGCAAACTTTCCTCCTCCATATTTCTGCCTTGGTGTCCGGATGGAAAGGGACAGCAGAGCTAAGAAGGGAAGCAAGTCTGAGTCTGAACTCCATGTGACAGTAGGCGATCGTCTGGCTCGGTGTCCCCCAAAGTACCTGTTCTGCACACTGTGACAGGACACAGAGCCCTGCAGGAAGGGGAGGTCGTGTGCTCTGAGTCTGAGAGAGGGGGAACCACCTCAGCTGAACTACAGGTCTGATTAGTAATTGTCTTCACTCCTTGTATCATCACTGTGACACCTGACGGGAGCATCTTAGGGAAAGAGGGACTTATACGGGACTATATCATGGCTGGGATGTTCTCTGGAAGCATGTTCAGACTATAAATCTCACTGCACCCCCGGCCCCCTTTCCCTACCCCCTCCCACAGTGACAAGTCATTTCATCTAGGTAGTCCCCGTTCCTCTCCAACCCCCCAAATAGCACCACCAACTAGAGTCCAAATACTGAAACCCATGCGTCTCTGGGGAACGTTTCACACGTGAACCACAGCAGTAATGACACAGCTTTGCTTTCAGACCCAAGCTCCTTCTCTGACCTCTCAATTTGAAGAAGCCTGGGTCCAGGTTCAGAGTCAAGAGAGCCATCAGCATACAGCATCTTCTTCTTGCTGCCCAGATGATCTTAGCATCTTTATTTTCTCAACTGCCATTTGTCCCCCTGTTATGTGATGTTTTACTCTTTTGGCTCTTTGGGGGCCCTCTACCCAGCTCCCAAATAAATCACACACAGAGGCTTATTCTTAGCTATAAATGTCCAGCCTTAGCTTCCCTTGTTTCTTGCTTGCTTTTCTTAAATTAGCTTGACTACTTTTCGCCTTTGGGATTTTTGCTTTTCTTACTTCTGTATATCTTATTTTCACTCTTACTCCGTGGCTGACTGGGTGGCTGGGTATCTAGGTGACTGGTCCCTAACATCTCCCTGTGCTTGATCTCTTGCTGAGCCTCTCCCCTCCTTACAAATACCTCACCACTTGGCTCCTCCCTACAACTTCCTGTCAGCTAGTTGCTGACTCAGCCTCCTGACCACAGGTGAATTTTATTTAATCAAACACATCTTTGCAGCATTAAACAAATGTTCCAGAGCATAAACAAAAGTAACACTGTTAGTCTTCTGCTGCCACTTTAAGAACTAACCACACCCACCCCAGCCACTTTTGGACCCCCCCCATCTTCTCTCTCTCTCTCTCTCTCTCTCTCTCTCTCGTGTGTGTGTGTGTGTGTGTGTGTTTGTGTGCGTGCGCGTGTGTGTATGTATGTATGTGTGTGTGTATGTGTGTATATGTGTCTTTTTCCTATGTTTGTCTATGTTTTCCTTTCTTTAAGTAATAAATGTCTAGTTTTATGTATAGCCTTATGTCTATTTACTCTGTCGTCCACCGTATCCAGCCGTTTGACTCTGCCCCTCGCCCAGGGACCCTGACTCCCCCGCCGCATGGCGCTGCCACTTGCAGCTGCTCCGCCAGCTGCCCGGGACATCCGCCCATGGTATTTTTAAAAAAACAATATTTTACCTTAAAATAACATTCTACAACACTCTCCTTAACATTTGACTACATTGCCCCCACTTTTTCTTCTCATCTAAGGGGTCTCTCCCTTTGAAAGGCTAATGAATCCCTTGGCCTGCTGAGGCACCCACCAGTTCTCTCGCTTCCCTGTAGTCCTAGATGCTGAGAACTGCTTCCGCCTCACTTTTATCTCATGCCTTCTCAGTCAGCACACTCCTCAGCACGCTCAAGTCCTGCATTCTGAAAGGAGACAGAGTGAAGATCCTGCCTGCACTCCCCCGCCTCTGTGGAGCTCTTTAGTGATGCCTCTGTCTCACTAGCGGTTCCTCAAGAGTCCTTGTTGCTCTGTGTGTCCTCACTTCCCTGCCACTCCACAGCTGTTCTCTTGGAGATCCACTCCCTTCTCACCCATGCTTCTTAGCAGCCCTTAGTCAAGTACATCAATGCCTCTCTCTCTCTCTCTCTCTCTCTCTCTCTCTCTCTCTCTCTCTCTCTCTGTGTGTGTGTGTGTGTGTATGTGGGGGGGGGGTCTCTCAGCGAACCTGGAGTCCACTCTTAGGCTACTATGCTGGCTCAGGTGATTTAAACCCAGGTCCTTGTGCTTATATGATAAACACTTAGTGACTGAGCTGTCTCCCCATTTTCTCTAAGGTCTTCTCCCCAACTCTCCATACATTTCTTCCTCAGGTCTCCTCTTCCACAAGTGCCTGGAAGACATGACCACTGTGATCTTTTCCAGAACTATTATTAAAGGTGTGTTCCTAGGTAAGTAATTTCGGTCTTATCAAAGAAACTTTTACCGCATACTTTGTACATGCTAAGAACAGGCATGGAAAAGTCCTCGAGAGATGTGAACTATATCGGCCTCAATCCGACAGTGTACCAACCAGCTACCGCCAACACTTTGTAACAAATAAACACGATGGGGTGCTTTTTAATTGAGCCATCTAGCAGACATATTTTGTACTTTATTAATTCTTAATTAAGGCTAGCTATAGTAGTTAACTACTTAAATTGGCTACTGACTTCCTAGCCGATGATGTGGATTTAGATAAAACCTGTATAGTGTGTGGACCAGCAGCATCAAGGTCACTACCAGAGGTCTGGGAAGTATCTCAGTGGTGAGTGCTTGCACATCATGTACAAAGCCCTAGGTTTGATTCTTAGTACAGGGGGAAAAATTAACCACTATAACATTGGGTGGAAAATGTAGACTCTCAGGTATCACTCCTGACCTGTGTAGGGTTCCTCGGTGATCAAGGTGCATTTGAGTTGGAGAGACACAGGCCCAATAATAGGCCAGTAGCTTCCAGTGTAGCAGAACCCAGGGAAGATGCAGACAAATATGGTATTCCTTGCCATGCACACTACACAGTGTACATGGGAAAACAGAGATATCAAGAAGCTTTAAAAATGAGGGCGTTCGACTTTGCTATTTGCTTTCATGAACCCTGGTTCCTGCCAGAGTAATCCAGTGTGTGGGCCCATATGCTGAGATTTTACAAAGACTCCACAGCATGCCAATTAACTTGGGGAAGCAGAATTAATGAGAGCTAGCAGCAATAAGATGTCAGTAGTAATACCGCTACTTAAAGTGGCTCTCTTTAATGCATGCTATAAAACTGGGAAAACAGTCTGTACTTAACTGTGGGAACTCCTGACAGATTCAAAATTCAGAATGCTTAGGTAAAGATTAGATATGCACTCTGGGAGAGGAAAGTATTTCTATCTTCTTTCCCTCAGGCAGAATGGGCACAAGCCAGAGGCCTCGAAATCTGTCTCAACTTATCTGTCTGCTCTTCAGACTGCCTCAGAATCCCACAGCTGGAAAGCTCACCTGGATTTTCTACTTCCCCCTAATAAATGGCAGAGAGAAGTGTTTGTCTTCTGCATCAGTCCTAAGTTTGGTAAATGTATCCTTCCAGGGTAGTTTTAAACTCCTGGAAATAAAATATGCCTAATGAACTCAATTACGTATGTTTTTAGTAAGGCAAGGCAGGAATGAAGGACAGAATACAATGTTCACATTTTAGGCTTTGTTTTGCTGCCAAAGGGGAAGAAGGATAAGTGAGGATTAAAGAGTCATTAGGATGCTTAGATAGATAGATAGATGATAGATAGATAGATAGATAGATAGATAGATAGATAGATAGGTGGGTAGTGGGTGGGTGGATGGATGGATGGATGGATAGATAGATGATAGATAGATAGATAGATAGGTGGGTAGTGGGTGGGTGGATGGATGGATAGATAGATGATAGATAGATAGATAGATAGATAGATAGATAGATAGGTGGGTAATGGGTGGGTGGATGGATGGATGGATAGATAGATAGATAGACAAGTAGTTAGATGATAGACTGACAGATGGGTAGACAGATGATAGATAGGTAGATAAACAGATAGATAGGTAGGTAGGTAGATAAAGAGGTAGGTTACCGAGCCAGTGCGGGCTGGAACCAAGAGTCTCGGTGGAGGGTGTCCAGGTTGAATGAATTCACAGAGCACGAGGTTGAGGTGGAACAGCTTCTTCATTGTTCTGCTGGGGCTGGCTTTTATACCCTGGCACCAAATGAGGAGGGGGCTGTGAAGGGACTGTCACCTGACCTCAGTAGGGACTGCCACCTGACCCCAGCAGGGATCAAGGAATGATCACATGCACTCAAACTTCCTTATCCAACTCCAGGAGCAGAGGGAAGTTATTATGTTTTCTTTGCAGATAAGCACCTCAAATGGGGGCAGGGAAATGTAACTCGGGGCTGCAATTCCCACAGTAGGTAGATAAGTAGTTAGATGTAGATGATAGACTGACAGAGAGATGGGTAGATAGATAGATGATAGATAGATTTCTCCCTCTCTCCTCTCCTCAGAGAAAGAAAAATTTCCATGAATTCGTTTTTGCCATACGAAAGAGAGCAAAGCTCAAAAGAGGGTGGGGAGGTCAGCCACCAGACCCTAGAAAGCTAATGTGGGGACTGAACTCAAATGTTTTCTGGCACAACTCCCCATTGCTGAGGGAGGTAGTCTTCTGATTCAGGCAGACACTGGCTTATCAGATAAGGCTCACCCACATTCTCCTAAATCCATCAATCCCAATGTTAATCTCATCCCCACATCCTCACAGAAACAAGCTGAATCACTTCTGCTCATTTATCTGGGCTCCGAGGCCTTGTCAAGTTAGCACAGGAGCTTTTAAACCTAGAGCAGTGGTGTCATCTTCCTGAGGCTGGGACCCTTCAATCCACTTCCTCATGTTGTGGTGACTCCCATCATAAAATTACTTTCATTGCAACTTCATAACTGTAATTTTGTTACTATTATGAATAGTAATGTAAGTATCTGATATGCAGGATGTATTTGCATTGTTGCACATTGAACCAAAGCAGTAGTGACTCACAGGTTGAGAACCACTTAGAGAAATCCGCACCCCTTAGAACGGTTAGACACAAGGTTTCCTCTTTGAATTCCTACGTTAGGGTAGAGTGATTCTGAGCACGTCCTTAAACATTTCTCAGCTTCAACTCCCTCAGCTTCCCTAGAGGCCCATTTCTGGTTACTGTCATCTAGGAAGTCCTCAGTTCTGGGTATAAAAGTGGTGCCGGCCCTCTGAGTTCCTCTAAAAAACCCACTTTCCTCCCCCGAAGTAGATGTCCACTGTCTGCTGAGAACCATCACACTGAGCTTCAGGAACAAGAATGCTCAACTGCCAAGAACTCAACAGACCTGCTACGATAGGACCCAGCCAGGACAAGCTCAGCAGAGGCCTGAGTCTCAGCAGTTTATACCCTAAGGCAATATCGGGTTCCAAGAAAGGTCACAGTCTGAGACCACCCAGGTACCACCCAGGAACATATCATCCAAAGGAAATTCCTAACATTCCAACCATCTTAGACAGGATCACCTGCCAGCACACGCCCATCGCTTTTCACCAGGATGTCCATAGACAAATGTCAGCCAATCAGGGGTCCTGAATCTTAGAAATCCCTCACCTCAACCTTTGCTATTATAAAAACCCAACCCCAACTGAGAGCCCAGGGCTCTCCAATCACGCCAATGTGTTGGGCACTTGGAGAGTCTGAGTTTGAACTTGAATAAGAATAAAGGCTCTTTGCTTTTACATACAGAACTCAGTCTCCTAGTTGGCTTTTGGGGGACTCCATGATCTGGGCATAATAGTCACCAATCCCCATTCTAGTCAGTCTGGCTTAGGAAGCCCAACAGTTCTGGACATGACAACTTTTCTTTCTCCTTGCATACTCCTTGCCTTCTCAAACACACTCTTTCTAACACAGATGTTAAGAAAATTAAAACCTCAGATAAACGTCTTGTGCTAGTCGGTTTTCCGTAGAGAATCAGCTGGGAGGAGCAAGCTTTGCTTGGCCTCTGTTTTCAGAGGTTTCAGGGCATAGTCAATTAACCTGACTACACTTTGACTCTGGACAGGTGGTAAATTACATCACAGTAGGGAGTGAAGCTGCTCATCTCATTCATGGTGGCCAGGAAGCAAAGACAAAAAGACAAAAAGAATGGGCTCAAAATATACCTTTTAATGGCACACTCCTAATAACCAATACACCACAACTAGGCTCCACCCCCCTAAAGTTTCTACTGCCTCCAACGTGTCCATTAAATTACAGAGCAATAAGAGAGTTAATCCAAGTAAGAGGTCAGAACCCTCACATTACAATCACCTAACCAAAACTCCTGTGACTCCCAGAAGATCAGTAGAAAAAAAAAGAAAAGTAGACAACTTTCATAGAGTCGATTCGAGGCCTCCTGGCAGTCTGGAGGCAAAGGGGTAAGGAAGACAGCCACAAAGCCAAGCAGAGGATGGGCTAAAGAGCACAGGGGGCTTGCAGGGAACTGCTCAGAATTTCTGGTCTGGAAGGCCAACTCTTCAGTCTTCTGGCTGCGTGAGTTTGGGTAAAATAACTTAACCTCTACTGTTCCCACACCCTCCTCTTCCAGTGAAATTTTCTTTAGCACTGATGCTAATGTGGATATTTAAATGAGTCCATGTTTGTAAATAATCACAACGCTGCTCAGCACAGAGCAACTCACCCTACAGAGGTGGTGGTCCCTCTGCATCTCTCCTAGTCCTAATTGATATTTGCTTATAAAGGCAATGAAGCACATCCAGGCACTCTGGGACATCTAAAGAAAATGCTACATCTGCAGGCAAGCAAGAGTTGCTAAGATTAACTTAGCAAACAGAGCAGGCTAGATATCCTGAACTCAAAAGTGCTTGAAGCAGGGTTTCAGGCTTTCTTTTCTTTTGGAGGTTGTAGAATACTTATATACAAATAATGAGCTATTTTGAGGCTAAAACCTGAGTTGGTTTGAATGAGATATGAGGCTCAAACATTTAAAGGCTTGGTGTCTAGTTGGTGGCTCTGTTTGGAGCTGTTCTGGGGAGGTGTGACCTTGCCAGAAGAAGTGCATCACTAGGGTCGGTTTGGAGAGTTTTTAAAGCCTTGACTCCAGTTTCTGTTTGCTCTGTGGTATATCTATGGTTACATATGTGAGCTCTTAACTTCCTGTTCTTGCCAGCCCTGCTGCTTGCTGCTATGCCTCTGCCCATCATGATGGACTTTTATCCCTTTGTAACGATGAACCCAAATAAACTCTGCTGTAACTTGCCTCAGTCCTGGTGTTTGATCAAAACAACTGAGAAGTAACTAGTAGAGCCAAATCTAAAACCATGAAATTGCTCTATTTTATGTGTGTGCATGTCTGCTCGTATATGGACGTGTTCATCCCTGAGGGTGTGTGCAGAGGTCAGAAGTGAATATTTGGAAATTTTTTTAAACTTTATGTGTATGCGTATTTTGTCTGGATATGTCTGTCTGTCTGTCTGTCTGTATATCTATCGATATATACCACATGCAAGCCTGGAGGCCAGGAGGTCAGAGGAGGGCATTGGATTCCCTGGGACTGGAGTTGTGAAGGTTGTGAGCTACACTGTGTAGGTGCTAGGGATGGAATTCAGGTTCTCCAGAAGAACAACAAGTGTTCTAACTGCTAACTCATCCATCTCTCCAGCCCCTGGGATATCTTCGTAACTCACTTCTCTCCCTTGCTTTTTGCGGGTAGGGTCTCTTAGCGACCCTGGAGCTCACTACTTCAGTTAGATAAGCCTCCAGAATCTGTCTGTCTCTGGCCTTCAGCACTGGGGTGACAAGCACACACTTCCCTGTCTGTCCTTTTAAATGGGTGCTGGGCATCTAAATCCGGTCCTCATGCTCGGACAGCAAGCACTTTACCAGCAGAGCCATCTCCCCAGCCCTCATTTATGGCTCATAAAGATTTTATTTTGTGTGTGTGTGTGTGTGTGTGTGTGTGTGTGTGTGTATGTGTGCGCGTGAGTGAAGGTGTCCTTAGAGATTAGAAAAGGGTATCTGAGCCTCTGGAACTGGAGTTAAATTTGGTCATTAGCTTCCAAGCATAGGTGCTGGGGACTGAACTCAGGTCCTCTGCAAGAGCGGCAGGCATTCTTTAACCACTGAGCCACTGCTCCAGTTCCCACACTTGCGTTTTATATAAACTTTAGACACATATCCAGAGGTGATATTAGAAACATTTTTTAACACAGTTGCATTTTGAAATTTCTACTTGTGACATCATATTGGTATCAAGGTTTATTTAATTTGGGGGCATTTTGGATTTTCAGATTAACAATGCTCAACCCTTGTTAGACATGAAGCAGTTCCCGGGGTGGTTAGCAACGCTCATGGCACATTTCCCTTCCAGTGTCCTACCTCTCTCCTCAGTAAGATCACATTCAGTTCTGAGACTAGTCCTGGCAGGGATTTCTATGAATGAAACATGGTTGCTCAGCTTGATGATGGGGGAAATGTGGACAGTCTTTGGTGTGGTCACACACAATAATAATTAGAAACCATCAGTTCCATCTGAGGTGTTGCTAGCATCCCATGGTTAGTACACTGGGTATATAATCATGACCCTTGGGCCTGATGAAGGGCAGGTATTTGTGACATCACAAGGCAGGGGCAGTTTGGAGAGCATAAGGAAAGGCAGCTTCAGAGAAGGGGGTCTTGTCTAAGTGGAGACAGGGAGCCTATGACTCCCCTGTCCTGTTAGTCACCTCTGTGTGGCCAGTGGAGGCCAGGCCTGAGTTTTGAAAAGATGTCTGGGGCCAAGTTCCAACATCAGACATGGTCATGGCTATATCATTTCCATTCTCTGGGCCTCTAATTGCCTTATGGGTAAACTGATTTCAGAGATTCAGAAACAATACAGACGCAGCTATCAGACTCTGTCTTAAAAAAAAAAAAAAGATTGTCTTGTGGTCTCTTGAGTAAAAAAAATTCCAGATCTGTAGATCTAGACACATGTCAAGGATGGGGTTGGGGGTGTGGTCACAGAGATCCACAGCAGGTCTCCTCTCCCACTCAATGTCCCACCTCCTCTAGATCATCCTAACAGAGGCTCTCAGGTCCTGGTGGAGTCCTGGTGGAGTCCTGGTGGAGTCCTGGTGGAGTGATCTCTGGCATCCACATGGCTTCCGATTAAAGCGGCCATGGCAGGTTCTAGAATGGTGTCACCTGGTAGAAACAGGCAGAGGGAGTGAAGTCATGTGATGTGGTCTAGTAGTCACATTGGAACTAAAAGATGATTGAAATTAAGTTTAATGACATGCTATCTAACCCAGCATATCTGAAATGTCAGCAATCCACCACACATTAACACCCTTTAAATGTTTCACAAGTTTTCAAAACCCAAAGGGGGTTTTCAACTCAGTGTGTCCAGTTCCAACTAACCACCTTTCGAGTGTGCAAAGTCACACGTGAGTGGCCACCATAATAAAACAGAAATAACAGAAGCAAGAATTCTTCCCAATCATTCACAAAAGCTGTGCCCTCATTGCATCATTAGCTCAGACAGGTGTACCCTTAGGTGAGGATTGAAGCTCTCCCTGAAAAGGCCTTCAAGGTCACTTCCTCCAGGAACTCCTCCTAGCCCTGCCCCAGAATGACTTCCTTGACCTTATCTCCTATCTCCTCCTTTCTAGTCCTCAACACATTCCCTACTTCTTGCTGACTGAATATCACCTTTATTTAATAATTTGGCATTTAATATTGCCAAATTTCCTGGAAGCTTCTCCCCAACTTAATTCCAGAATCTCCCAGAATCTACTTTTTCCTTTGGGATGATTTTGAAGAGCTCACCATTGTGCCATCAGACACCCATCTTAACCATTAGAACAAGTCCACCTAACACTATCTGCTTTCTATCTCGGATCTTAGCCACAGTTAACTTCAGCCTTCCTCTCTCTCACAGCACAAGGCTCTGGTAGAAACCTAGGGTCCCTAGAGCTTGTAAGAATTAAGCTACAAATCAACACAAACACAAATCCCGAGGGCAATGAAGAGACTTTCCTCTTCCTAGGGGACTAAACACACAGCAGCAAGCCTTGGCTGTGCATTTGACACAGGTTATGCGCATGACCCTTGGCTGATCCCATACATTTAAACTCCGGAAAGTATTTTCACACTCAGGATCAAAATCACCTCTCTCTGTATAAAAGCGTTGTAGAATAGAGTGGGTAAAAATCTCCTGATATCTGACTTCTTCCTTGAGTATAAGCTATGCAAACAACCGTGCTACCTAATTTAAAAAGCCTCCATATCTTTGCACATGTTAGTAATCTGGTAATTACTCTATGATTCAGGTGTGATTGATGATGACGAGTTTTGTCAGTAGTCTCCCCCCCCCCTTTGCCAGCTTGGATGACTTACATTTTTAGTTAACCAAATTGCAATAACATCTAAGGTTGAAACTATAAAACAATCATCTCATTAAATGAATTCTGTTTCTCTCTCAAGTCACCCCTCCCCCCAGGGCTTCTCTCTCACGTCACCCCACCTCAGGGCTTGTGAATGACAATTCACAGGCTCTTAAGTACCTTTAGGCAGAGGGTCCCTTCTAAAGCAAACTCACCACTTCCAATGCTTTCTGTCAACATAGAACCTTCTCCCACCCTCCCCCAGTTATTCACACAAGTAACTTTTCACCTCCTGCCCCCCCCCTCGCCGCGGGGAAATTCATGTTTTATAGGTACACAGATAAACACTGGAAATCTGGCTGGACAGACAAAAGTCAGACTCAATATTTAGAACTCAAAATGTGAATGGGGACCCCCACCCCCTCCAGTAACTGTACTCAGATAGTCCCAGACATTTCAACTACAAGCCTACAACGTTTGTACACCTACAGAGTCTGGAGACTTCTTTTCTGGCCGCTATGGAAAGTACATACAACCTATCTCGCTATCTTGACTTTGCTGGTTCTCAAAGATCTAAGGACCAAATGGTGTTTCCTGGACACTCATGTGCTGACCTTCCGGGGTGCATGTGTGGGTATTTGTGTAAAAAAAGGGCTACACAAAAATCTTTTTGGCAACACCAGTGTGCACTCAAGGGAGGTCAGTCCACAGAGGGCCAGCCAAGGTGAGGGTTCTGATTCTAGATCGAACCTTCTCATTCTAGATCGACACTTAATTCAACGTCAAAAGAATGTCTGGGGTCTAAAGCAAGCCTTCGAACACTTCCCGTTAGTAAGGACAGCTGAACCTTCCACAGAGCAGATAATGTTTTATTCCACTTCAATTACTTCACATTTTGGTCTTCTCTGAGCTAGGAGGGGGTAGGGAGGTATAAAAAGCTCTATTGCTTTAGGATTCTTTGATCCATTTTCGTCATAGTTCATCTAAGCTTTTCCACTCCTTTGAATTCCAGGGTCACTCTTCTGCAGGTTCCCTGATATTTTTCTGGCGAGGCACTGGCAGACTTGCTCAGTTTTCCATTTCTTTTCCCTGGACACAGGCTGCGACCAGGGACCCCTCTGATGGCCAAAGATCGGGAAACCGGGAGACCAGGCGTTGGCTCCTCCACGCTCCTCAAGCGCCGCTCATTCTGGCTGTTCACCCTAAACTCGAAGTCCTTCGCGCTTGCAGTTCCAAACTGGCGGTCCTTAGCTCGCCGAGGGCCTTGCGCCACCAAGGGCCGACGGCCCAGCACCGTGGGGCGGTTGGACTGCGAGCGAAAAGACACCGAGATCTGGGAGGAGGCAGAGGAAGGCGCCGGGACCACGGTGGGCGGGTGTGGGGGCCGGTGCCGGGACTGTGGCGCTTGCTGGACGTTCGACTGGCCTGACCACGCCCAGCCATGCGGGATGGCGCCCACGCGCCCCCAGTGGCCTCTGGAGGGGAGCCGAGCCTCCTCCGCGTAGCTTTCCTGGGTGCCACCTTCGGGTTCGGAGTCGGGCTCCTGCGAACAGGCTGGGGACGGCGGGGGAGTGACTGGGGCACGGAAGTAGGGAAACAGGAGCACGGCGCGCAGCCTCCGGGCGGGAGAGCAGTAGGGCAGCCGGAGAGGCAGCGACATCTGCGGGCCGGGCCGAGCGGGGCTGCGGGGAGGCCGGCCCTGTGCGCGCTCACGTCCCGCGTGGGGCTGTCACGGCCATGGAGGGACCCGGCTTCGAGTCGCCCCCGGCCACGGGAAAGTTGGCCGGACACTTCGGAGCCTCCACCCCGAGTCACGAGGTGGAATGAAGACCCCCTGCGAGGCCTGTGTCCGCACCAGGTGGCGTGGGAGGGTCCGGTACGCAGAAAGAACCAGTTTCAGCCGGAGCGGCCAGCGCAAGCCATTGACACTTCAGTCCCGGGAAGGGTTAACCGGGTCCTGCCGCCTAGGTTTACATGTAAATAGAGAGCTGCTACTCCGCGCGGGCCCGGGCTGGCTCTTTTAAGTTTTTGATTGGTTGCCAATGACATCACCGCCCGCGTTCTAACACACCAAACCCACAAGCGCTTCTGAGCGGGCCGCCTTCCCGCGGTGAGGCCACGCCCTTTTCTCCGCCCTCTCCGCCGCCTATTGGCCACAGGCCACTGTGAGGTAGCGGGCGGCGGTCTCTGGATCCTCATTGGCGCAATGCGACGTCGCTCGGCGGCGGCCCCGCCCACTCCGAAGCTTACATTTACGCTGTAGCAAAAGAGAAAGTAACTCTGTGTTGCTGCTGGGGATCAATGAAGCTGAGTGAATGGGGGCGCACTGCGCGAGCGCATAGCTGGAGCGGGCGCCAGATGGTGGAGGGCTACGCTTATTGATGAAGTAAGTGGAAGTCATTGCGGCCACTCAGAGCCCGAGGCTGGAGGGTCCCGTGTGGTTTGTGTGTGTGTGTGTGTGTGTGTGCGCGCGCGCGTAAGAGAGAGACAGAGACAGATCCACATCAGGTAAGGAAGGTTCTAAGGTTTAGGCTCTTGGGTCTGATTGCCTTGGGATAAAGGGAGGAAATGAGTTTTGGTTCGGTTAAGATGCTTTGTGGCAGTTTTCAAAGCCTAAGGCTTTGCTGATGCTCAGCGGTGGCGAGGAAGGGGGATGATGCTAAGTGCCCCAGGAGTGGGGAAGGAACATTCTCTAACCACTTGGGTTTTTTTTTCTCCAGTCCATGTTTTGTGGTAGAAGGGAGACTAGCGAGGAACAGAATAAGGAGAAATCGCTATTTTTGTGGGAGGTTTCCCCTGGCCAGACTGGATGGCTTTGGAGCTATCTGCTGCAAGGATGCAGATCTCCGTGCACTCTGTGCCTGTGTGCAAGCCGCGCGCACTCAGTGTGGAGGTGCGGGTCCCAGCCTGTCTCTAGGAGCACATTCTTGGGTCCTGCTCCTAGAGAATGGGCTACTGATCTCGGACGTCCCCTACAAGGTACCACGTTAGCAAAGACTTTGACTGCATTCATGGTCTAGCTGGGACAGTTAAGCTTCTGGAACAGTACTCGCCCTGAAAAAAAAAAAATACTACGCAAGGGAGGCAGGCAGGCAAGGAGGGAGGTGGGGAGGGAGGGAGGAAAGCAAGAGGTTGAATCCTTTGCTCCCATCCAAAGGTGGGTGAGAGAAACCTGAGTCAGTGGGGATCTACCGACACGGGTGGGTACGTGCTCCTGTGTGTTCTTGTGTGGATTCCGCCGGTGACACTTTGGCTCGGTGTCAGAGAACGGTGACGGTCATGAGTAGACCGATGATCCATGCATGATGTTTTTCCAGACCAATCTTAAAGTTCGTTTAGGTGAGTGGCTCTTGCTTGGGGTTTGATTTCTTTGCTGTGTACATGTCTAGTAGAGGAGTCAGAATGGCCGTGTTGTAGAGTGGCCTTGTGCCTAGGAAAAGGGAAGTGACCCATTGCAGGCACCCTGGGGGGCGGCAGAGGTAACCCCTGTGGGCACCACTTCCCAGCTTCTTAATTAGCCTGTCTGAGGTGAGGGACAAGTGGAGTTACCCTCATGGAATCCATCCTGTCTCCAAGAAGGATATCAGTATAAGACTGAAAAAAATCTCTTAAATTTGTCACTTAAATGGAGATGTAAAGTCTGTACCACCCGGATGAAATCCAAACCCTTCTTTGCTTAGGTGCTTAGGGGCACAGCACAGGGAAGGGCAAGCAAAAGTGAGAGGGGGCAAGGGAGAATGGGTCCGCCTGGATTGGGGTTCCCAGACCTGACTCCTTTGGAGACTTGGTTTTAGGACAGTTATTTACAGTGAAAGGGGGACGTAAGACTTGGTTTGGAAGAGGCTCACAGAAGACAGGTAAGCTTTGAATAGGACCGTATCGAGCTTTCCAAAGGAGCTACCAGAACTGGAAAGCAAGCAAGATTAGTGGCTAGCCTTGCCGGCTGACTTAGGGAGACACATTCCTGATTTGCAGAAAGTTGACATCTGCCCCGATGTAAATTTAGCTGCCATGCATCTCTGTGAGCCCTGACAGTGTGCTCGCTTATCTCTTTGACTTGGCCATGGGTAAAGAAATGAAATAGAGTGTGTGCCAGGGAGGACAAAATCATCCATCACAGGTGCAACACCCATCACAGGTGCAACACTCATCACAGGTGAAATATCTCTCTGCCCAGGAACGGAGGCTCAGAGAAAATCTGCCTGGTTCTCTGTACCTTTACCCTCACTAAGGCTGAACTTTGATTAGGGTCCATGAAAGGATGTCCATTACCATTTCTGGCGTCACTTCCCATTTTAACCTTCAACTTAGCATAAGAATGGATGGGGGAGTCCCTCAAGGATGCATCCTCTCTGAATAAATCAAAGTGAATTTCAGGCCTTGTGAATACCATGACCAAGGACACCTATGAGGACTTTGACTTTGCTCAGAGATATGCAGAAGTCTTTCCCAGGGATTGGATGAGACTGCCTTTTGTGTCACGTGACTTTATTCTTTCTTTCCTTCTTCCCCTTCTTTACAGACTCTTGAGTTCTTCTTGAATTGCCAGTTTTCAGCCTCCTCATGCCTCCATCTCCTTTAGACGACAGGGTAGTAGTGACACTGTCTAGGCCTGTCCGACCTCAGGATCTCAACCTTTGTTTAGACTCTAGCTACCTTGGCTCTGCCACCCCAGGCAGCAGTAGCCACCCTCCTGTCATTGCCACCGCCGTTGTGACCCTCAAGGCTGCGAATCTGACGTATATGCCCTCATCCAGCGGCTCTGCCCGCTCCCTCAATTGTGGATGCAGCAGTACTAGCTGCTGCACTGTGGCAACCTACGACAAGGATCACCAAGCCCAGACTCAAGCCATTGCCGCAGGCACTGCCACCACCGCCATAGGAACCTCGACCACCTGCCCTGCCAACCAGATGGTCAACAACAATGAGAACACAGGCTCTTTAAGTCCATCGGGTGGGGTGGGTAGCCCTGTGTCAGGGACTCCCAAGCAGCTAGCCAGCATCAAAATCATCTACCCCAATGACCTGGCGAAGAAGATGACCAAGTGCAGCAAGAGTCACCTGTCCAGCCAGGGTCCCGTCATCATTGACTGCAGGCCTTTCATGGAGTACAATAAGAGTCATATCCAAGGAGCTGTCCACATTAATTGTGCCGATAAGATCAGCCGGCGGAGGCTGCAGCAGGGCAAGATCACTGTCTTAGACTTGATTTCCTGTAGGGAAGGCAAAGACTCTTTCAAGAGGATCTTTTCCAAAGAAATTATTGTTTATGATGAGAATACCAATGAACCGAGCCGAGTGATGCCGTCCCAGCCGCTTCACATAGTCCTCGAGTCCCTGAAGAGAGAAGGCAAAGAACCCGTGGTGTTGAAAGGTAATGATCCTCACCCCCTTCCTCAAATACTGTCCTGGTCAGCTAGGTTCCCTTCAGAGGTTCTCTTAGAAGTGGCTGCCTTCTCTTCCCCCTCCCCCAGACACCATGAACCAAAATTGCCTTTCTTCTTGTCTTTTCTTCTACCCTTTTAAAAAATGTTAATATAGTAAGAAAATCCAAGTAGCAATGAGTTGATATCCAGATATGAGTCCCCAGCCTTGATCTGACTTATGTTTTGTTCATATTTCACCTGATTGGTTTTCAAAAGATGCTTTGTATTTGTATACCGAGGTGGTATCTCAAGTCATGGCTCCTCTGGGAGCTCTGTTTCAGTCTGTGACTGGTTGGAAAGTCTGTGTTTCTCAAGAACTAACTGAAGTGGATGGCCCAGAGGAGGCAGTATCTATGGCACATATCAAATAAATCTGCGGGTGCCAGTTCTTTGTGTGAGAAACTCTCGATGTTTCTCACCTGTCTGATTGTCTTGACTTTCATATTGCTTATAAAGTTATCTTTAACCAAGGCAGAAATTTTTATTTTAAATCCATATTGAAATTGTGATTTCTCCAAATACATCCATCCATTCCTTAAGGACAGCTCCAAGGGGATGGAGATTTGAAGTGCCCTACAACCTTTTGTTCTTTCTGGCGTCACCTGAGGACAGTTGACTTCTGGTTCTTCCCAAGGAGGAGTCATGCATCACTTTCCCCTAATGTGATGTTTGGAACCCCCAAAAGGAATAAGTTGCTTCCATAAGTATTGCCCTAACCATGCTCATCTTGTCCTCCAATGCTGTCCTTTTGGGCTCTAAACATGGCTCTCTTGATAGTGCCTACATGGTCATGATGGAGAGTGATAACTGTCTTTGTTTTGTGTTGAGCCACTGGGGAGTGGGTCATGTCACAGCCCACTTGCTCATCTTGGCTCTTCCCATAGTGTGCACTGGTCGTGGAGGAGAGTAATAGCTACCCTTGCTTGTGTTTTGAGCCATTGGGGAATGGGGTGTGCTACATCTCTAGCCAATGTCCTAAAGTGTTGTTGATATCAGTGTTGCTAGGTTCCTTTGAGCGCTTTTCATATTGAAGTTGGAGCAGGCTGCTTAGGTAAGCAAGTAGGGATTTGTCTTTGTGGGATGGCGATGCGCATTCTCCTTTCCTCCCAAGTGATGGAGACTGCTCTTAGAAACACGGTTTAGTTACCCTTTGCTATGTGATGCACCTTCCCACTCTTGGTTATCTTTGCAGACAAGTGTCACGAAGACACAGCTCTCCTTGGAGCATGTGGGTTCACAGTTCTACACAGTTCTGGAAGCCCTGGGCACTGTTATGATGGTGACAGTATGTTTTCTTAGAGTCACAGATATGTCAGGGTTCTGCAGTGTAGCTCTGTTCTTCATTCTGAATTCATGTTGGGTTGACTTTTAGAATCCCCCAGGGACTTTGACCGTGCCAGGTTTCTCCCAGCGTGATCTTGTCTTGTCTTTTTTTGCAGATGAGAAAACACCATCTGCAAATTCCCCAACTGTAAACAGTTTGCCTTGGTTTGCCAAGACAAATAGCTTTGCCGGGCTTCTTTTTTTCTCCCCATGGTTGGGATAGGTTTGGTAAAAATCAGCCCTTTTCTATAGATTATCAAAGAAGAATTAGCAAGAAACCTCACTTTATGATGACCCTGAACTTGAACATGGGGCTGATTGGGAGGCATAGTGAATCATATCCTCTTTCTGGCTATGGAGCTTGGTGGGTGAAGGGGTAGCCCATCAGTTGCTGAGAAATGTCTCTCCTGGGGACCAACGAGGAAGAAGGGGTTCCTCCCTGCCTTTCCTGTAGACCCATCTGAGGATCCCTGCAGCCTGGACTTGCTTGCTCATCAATGTCAGAGTAAGACTGCCTCAGTGGGGCGGGGCTGGACACGCAGCTGACCTCACCACCAGGCGCCCTGGGCAGCTGCGCTGAGGGCTAGTCATTTCGGATTGGTGCGACACCGTGGCGGCCAGCTTGGAAGACGCTCTGGTGGTAGAGGTTGGGTTATTTGTAGTTTTGGGAGGGAATTTTTCTTCAGATACCTTGGAATTTGATTGAAGATACGTAGTTCACGGTCTGTTGTCTTCTTTGTTATCATTATTAGTTTGGTACCTTTGGGAGGAATGGCCTAAAATCAGGATCACATTAGGGAAAAGGAAAAGGAGACGGACTATTGAGTTTCCCTGTTGTCCACTTGTCTGGTCAAACCAGAGGTTAGTTTCAGGGTGTCCTGGAGGTGAAGGATGAGGTGTGCTTCTCTCAACAAGCATGGTGTATAGCTTTTCCTAGGTTCTTGAGTAGAAGAAGCACCATCCTGGTCTTGCTTGTCATCTGAGGTTTATTTTAGGGTTCCTCTTGTTGGTGAGCTAAGATTGTATTTCAGCTAGTTGGGGAATGGCACCATTTTGGGATGAGTGCATTGTGTAGGGAGAGTGTGGCTGCTGGGGTGGGAGGAGATGGCTGGAATATATATGGTCGGAAGTCCTCAGGCCTTGTTGGTTTATTTTCAGAGATGCCGGATCCATCTGAGACTTTGGTTCGTGTTTGTAAACACTGGTTGCTACCCTCCCGGTTCAACTTTTATGTCCCTCAGTTTCAATGCCATGTTCTCCATTTTTGGAGCTGCCAGTCAAGACCAGTGGCGGCTGGGTTGCCATTTTAGTCAGGCCGTGTCAGGTTGGGGTGAAACTGATCAGGGGCACAGAAACCCCTGGATTAAGTTACAGTTCTAATTTATAGTCCCCACCCTGCTATGACCTAGGTCCGAGTCTGTGTCTCGTTCTTAGACACTGAAGGGTATATGGCGTCAGACCCTTGCTTCTGGTTAACTTCATCTGAGTGATCCAAAAGAGTAAATCTTTAGGGATTTAGTCTTTGAAAGAGCTGCACCCTTTCCCACCCAATGCTGGCTGTTTTAATCAACTACAAACTTGGTTACTGGGCTAAAGAAGAAGGCTGGACAACCCTTGATCTTCTAAAGTGAGAATGGCTGGCTGTTTTTGCTGTCCTGTTGTAAGGCTACCTTCCTTTTCAGCAGAGCTGGCTTCAGGAAAATTCTTTGTCCTTTATGTGTATGGGAAGGGCAAGTCTCCTCCCACCCCCTCCCTCGGGGCAACCTAGGTCTTTAGAATTTAATGATCAAAAATTTCAAACATTCAGGAAAGTATTGGCGTGTACAATGAACACCTTTATACCTACCAACCAGATTAAACTTGTGTTTCCCCATTTGCCTTCCCTTCCTTGTTTTTGAAATATTCTATATAGAATTATAGAATTATAGACTAACAATAGTCTAATGTTTAGAGTTAACATTGTATGTTTAATCGAACTGGGAGTATTTTGCAGGTTGGTATAGACAGTTTTTCCTGCTAAATAATTAGTGTCATATACCTGCCCATGAGTATCCTTAAAAAGGTAGAACGCCACTGTTAGTGACTGCTTCCCTACCCCTCCAGGAGACCCCTCAGGGCCTCTGTCTCTGCCTGTGTAGTGGTATGTCAGAGGCCCGGCCTGAACATGCTGCGTGCTGTTACAAAGCAAGGATAGGCTGTCTGCTGCGGGTTTTTCCAGCTCTGCTCTCTTCAGGAGGCTTTTTGAAGGGGCTGAGGGGTGTGTGTGGTGGGGGGAGGTGGCTGTGAAGAAGGCTGACAGAGTCACAGGGAATTAGGTTGATCTGAAAAACGTCTTCCTACTCTCCCCTATGCATTTTCATATTAGAAATGTTTTCTGTTAAAATATACAAACATGGTTGAACTATTTTTCAATGTAAAAATGGCATGTACATAAAAATCTAGTCTTATAAAAAATGTGTAAGTTCGTGTTACAGATACCCCCCCAAAAAAGCCCTCAAACCTTCCTGAGTCTCCCCTGAACAAAGAGCAAAGTTGGTCTAACATTTTCCCTTAGTCAAAACCGATTCTGGAATATGCATTAGGAAGCGGAGTTGCATGGCTCCAAATGGCTCTGCTCAGAAATCAGAGACCCTGTGAAGAAATTCTTATTCTGCTTTCTTTTGGGGAAGCACTGTATCCCCCCTTTCTTTGTCTGGGATATAATGATGCTCTTTTGAGACACGTCTCCATCACAGACTTATTTTATTCTTGTTATCCTGAATTCCTGATGAATGCTCAAGAGTAAATGCTGAGCACTAGCTCTGTCAGAGAGAGTGGAGAAATGTAGGGAGAAGAGCCCGAGGTCTCCGGGTTCCTCCATTCTGTGTCCTTGGGCAAGTTGCTTCAGCCTTTAGCTCACTGGCTTCCTCATTTGTAAGGGGGGGGGCACCCAACAGTGCTTAGGAATTCAGTAAGTGATGGCTTACTTGCAAAGTGTTCGGTAGAGTTCGGTGTCTATCTCTACATACAGCTCAGCATTTATTTCTGTGAATTGAAATGTGTCAGTCAAAAGAGAGTTTGTGCTTTTCTCTCGAGGGAGTATAACAGCCTAGGTATAGCTGTGTGTGTGTGTGTGTGTGTGTGTGTGTGTGTGTGTAGTGTGTTGCTAGGACCTAAAAATAACTTGGTGACTGTTACCTAATTTAAGTAGCATACAGTTGTGCCAAGTAATTGCAAAAACATGTTGGGTCAAGAGGCTGAGTGATTTGGGCATACCCTAGAATTATTTATTTGTAGGGGACTTTAGGAGAGCAGAACGATAAATCTGTCCAGCTGATGTCCTGGGGAGAAGAGTGAAAGTAGAAAACTTTTCAACTTTGTTTTCTCTGGCCTCGCCTCGATTTATTTTTGGAAGGATTGTAGTCTGCCTATAAAAGGGTAGATGGAAGGAGGAGGGGGTGCGGGCTGCTGCAGCCCTGAGTGACACAGAGGAGCTGGAGTACGGGGGAAATCAGGGAAGAAGCCGAGTTGATGCTTGCTCATTTTCTGAGTGGGCTCTGAGTGCTCCCCCCACCCCAAGGACTGCAGACTTGCCGCTGCTCTCTTCTGCCTCACTGCAATGCAAGTGAAAGACCAGTGGACTTGA